GATCCTGTCATCGTAAATAGTCGCTTACCTTCTCTTAGACTGCATTCACACTTTGCGTCAGCTTTTTGAGCGTTCAGAGCGACTAAGAAAGCATGGGTATCGATCAAGCGCCTTGGGCGTCTACTGGCGTTTGAGCGTTTCAGTGATAGCTTTGAATTTTCGCGCGCAGTCGCTGAAAACTTCGGCGTACGCTTAAAAAACTTAATCGATATCCATACTTTCCTAGGCGTTCGAAACGCTTCTGTACGATACCTATACATTCCTAGTCGCTTGAAACGTTCGAAACGCCGTCGTACGCTTAGAGCGCTGGCGCAAAGTATGAACGAATCCTCAATCTCCTATTAACGCCACATTTTAACAACATTAGTAATGTTGGGTTTTTGCATTCGATAGCATTGTTTGTGTACATATGTCTTTTCATAAACTAGTTATTTTTATAGAGTACGAGAAAGTGCAACCGTCGTACAGTCAGCTGAATCAAGCCATTCCGTCGTTAGAGATCACAGTGGCCAAGAAAGTTCGTCGTTCATTCACGGCCACCAGACTGAAACAGCAAACGCTTCAGTGGAGGCGGGGCAAACGGAGCAAGTTCGTGTTTTCGACCAATTTTGCGTCGCATTTCCAAATCTTGCGAAATGTCAGCTGTCCCAGTTTAACTCGTTTCCAGATGTCTTTGTTATTTTGTTACTGCTCACTCATGTGTTTGATGAGTAGTTGGATTGACACCATTTCAGGAGCCGGTAGTTTTTCAAAGGAACGGTTCTGGCCGTCGTTCGTGGCCCGTCAAAACATACGACTACGTGAATATCTCTCAACAAAGGAAAATGCCCGAGATTGAGAGTTATGCACACAACGGCAGTCTTCCTCATCCGGAGAAGATCATCAATGAAGAAAATGCCATCTTGAGAGATTGGAATCCGCGAGCACTCGTGCGAGCTCTGTATGAGGTAATCCTATCTTGACAGACGTTTTTCAGAATTGGATATCATTTGATTTCCTGAAATGTCTATGGCTGAACTCCTTCTTTTGGAAAGTTCACGCCAAATGCATTGCGGGAAATGATTTTTGTTGTAGATGTGTCAATAATCAGGGAAACCGGTTTACTCTTGACTTTTTGACGAGCGCACAGATGACAGCGTTTGGTTAATCGTTTGAAAGGTCACAGAGGGAGACTTAGAGACTATTCCTGCGACCAGTGTTACGAGTAGTCGGCGTTCAGTTGTGAACCAGCTGCCGACAGGTGACTTTCTAGTAGAGGAAGAGGCAAAAAATATATTGAGAACACCTCAACGAAACCCCTTCCTGACAGTCACACAGCCTCATTGTACGAGTTCTCCAAACTTGCTGGCGACTTGACACCCTGCGGCCTCTGTGCAATCCCTAGCTCATGAGTCGTTTCTTCACATCCTTTAGTACTAAATCTCATCTAAAAACAGAAAAAGAAAACAAAAACAGTATCGGAGAAAATATCTTTCGGTACTCTGCATGAAATTAGGACTGTTAAGCAATGCAGGACGAGCTTCTGCACCAAATCGATCGCATCGCTGCTAAATTTAAGCAGTGTCCAAACGCATCTCGCTTTGCGAAGCAACAGCTACTAACGTATTGTTTTCAAAAACGTATCCTATGAAAGAAGAACAGTTCTTGACCTAAAAGAGTCACCAAGCTCTCATCGCCGAGCGTGGGAAATCGCCCTACGACGCTTCAGGCAACGCAATGCACGCACATGGTTCCGCGCCGAAGTCGTTGTCTTGCAGAGTGAAAAGAATAGAGGACACTAATAGGCCCGCGTCTATGTCCTCTTTATGGCCACTTCGAAACGAGACGCTGAAGCTGTCTTCCATCACCACCATTTTTTTCCAAATCCCCATTCTCATGAGGATGGAAGGGGTTGCTCTATTCCGTAATAAGTAGCAAACCATTGCTGCTGTGACTATCATATATCATGAAGAATGCAGGAAAAACATTGAATAGCTTATCATTACGATTCCTTCATCCATTAATCCCCATACTTCCAGGTGTCGTATGAACCGAGAGTGGAAACAAAAAGAAATCGCTTTGTCAGCATGGAAGGTCATGTTGAGGTGCCCTCAGATGAGACATCCACCTGTTGCTGAATTGGAGAGACATTGGAAACAGCTTTATATGCGCACCAAAGAAGGAAGATTACAGATTTTTGTGGTATGTCATTTACTCGTGCTTTGAATATTTTGATTATGTTCAATTGCTGCTGTTCATGAACATGTGTAGAGTGAGAGAAATCCTAATAATCTATACAATTTCAAAACGTATCACTTTTGGAGCGACCACTGCAAAATTTCGATCAGAACGAAAAGTGAAATGTTGTGAAATTGTCCCATCATGGCCGTTCATTATGCATTCATCATGGCAATCCATTTTTCGCCACGTGTTGAACGCCTTTGTGGGTGGCTAAATAAATGCATCAGGAAAAAATAGCAGTCAAAGACATGAGGGATTGCATCCCATTTGGAACGCCGCGATTTTTCCGAATCCTTGACATTCAGATTCCTCTTACCCTAATCATTTCACTCACATGTTCTTTGACATGCACACAGAATGTAGGCTCAACAAATAAATAAGTAGTTTTATATACCCTGCGCTTATCTTCCCTCAGATCTAATTCAAACCATGTCAAATAAAGTATTCAAGAAGGTCAGTGGGAGAAAGGTAATAACGCTGCATCGCTGTGGCTGTCTTCATACTTTGCTTCAGCGTCCACCAGTGACTAAGAAAGTATGGATATCAACAAGCGAACGCCAGCGTACATTAGCGTTTCGCGGGCAGTTTTGCTCAAGTTCAAAAGTGCCCGGGGAAACGCTGCTGTGCGCTGGTGGACGCTAGCGGACGCTGGTAGACGCTGGCGTTCGCTAGATCGATATCTATACTTTTCCGGTCGCTGGCGCTGGCAAACGGTCGAAAGTGAGCGCTGGTGGTCGCTGGTGGACGCTGACGAAAGTATGAACGCAGCTTATGTGTATACGATCCAGCCCAGCGCAACCGATCCCTGCCTCTATCCGAGTTTGAGTAAGAGGTTCTAGACTCAGGCGCGATGAATTGATGGAGTGATGTATTACAGTCTGGCTCGCTGCGGATGATAGGGCGTGTCAGTACGGTTGCGTCTGTCGCGGCGGCAAACCCGTTTTCTGCCTCGAAGCGAGGAAGCGGCAAGGCTGACAATAACGATTATTCAGTAGGGCGCAAGTGGCTCACAAAAGAATTTAGGCGTGAGGTTGAATGCATTGCGATAGTCGGCTGCGGACTCACACCATATTGGACGCGCTCTACCTGAAAAAAAACCAAGTTTCCGAAAACAGGCCGGATCTTAATCAACTTTTTTTCTACGAGGGCAGATATGGCTGAAAGTTGGGTTCTAGAAGTAATTAGACCTCCTGAACACGAACATCACATCCACTTGGCCTGACCTAGGGTATTTTTGCGTCGGCGCCAAAATACCCTAGGTCACTAAATCCGCTGAAAACTTGTCATTTAACATCTTGATTACAGATATCACATTCATTCTTGGCGCTGACGCTGATGGAAGACTCCGCTCTGGTATGGCTGGCCTGACCTAAAAGAAATCACTCTTTCCCAGGCTCAGCCTTAGAAAAGCGCTAAATGGCGCTGGCGTCGGAGAATAAATGTCATATTCGTGATCAGGGCATCAAAAAACCTTATTAAGGATAAAAAGGATAAAGTCTTCGCCGTTACAATCCCTTTGTGGATGCGGCACGCATTCTACTTCCATTCAGAATCGTAGTGGCTTATTGAATGCGATGTGGCCTATACAATGACTTGCGGTGGCCAGCCGATGTACAAGTCAGTGTTTTATCCTCCCAGACGAATCTGGTACCAATTTACCGTCCCCGGAGGGTAGAAGGCTTGGTTGGCCTGGGCGGGAGTCGACCCGGCGCCGCGCGAGTGGTAAGCGCGAAACAACCCCATTATGCGCGTTTTTATCAATTTTGATGAAAAAGGGTGCGGCGCTAAATCAGCGCCTAATGGCGCCAAGTGTCGTCAGGGCTGAGAACTGCATTGTTCAAATAATGCAAGTAGGTATTCGTGATTAGGACATCAAATAAACCTATTATGCAAATTTACACCGAATTTGGTGGGAAAGGTGGCGGCGCCAAACTGGCGCCAATTCGGCGCCAGCGCCCAAAACGAGTGCTATATTCGTGATCAGGACACCGAACTACCTCTGTGGGCGAGGTTTCACGAAAAAATTTTTTTGACTATTTGGGGCAGTAATAGTTGGATAGTGCCATTTTATGATTTTTAGCTGATGATTTTCGCGTTTCCAGCTACAATATTTGAGCCTGGTTTTTTCAACTTGACCGCATTTGAACCTCTGCTTACAGGGACGATTGGTGCTCTGATTACCCAGTGGAATATGATTTGATATAGCATAGGAAAAAATCATCGAAACCTTAGTTTCTGAGCAGAACGAAAACTGCCCTCCTTCCTCTCAAGTTGACGAGAATTTCAGTTTGTTGACCGAAAAAGGTTCGCTTTTTCTCAATAATAATTTTAGTTCGACTTCCTACTGTGCATTATACCCTGGAATAGTTCGCGCTTCCGTTACAGCAGCCAAGGCACATGTCGGCAAAATTGACTGCGAGCGCGTCCAATATGGTGTGAGTCCGCAGCCGACTATCGCAATGCATTCAACCTCACGCCTAAATTCTTTTGTGAGCCACTTGCGCCCTACTGAAAATCGTTATTGTGGAAGGCTGTATCACGTTCGTATCAGTCGTTTTCCACCACTGTTGCCATTGACTCGCTACGACAATGGCGGAAAACGGGTTTGACCCGCGCCAAAGGCAGCCGTACTGACACACCCCATCATCTGCAGCGAACCAGACTGCAACTGCGGCAACTTTATCTTCGCTGTTTTTTATGTCCGAAAAAGTTATCATGGCACCAATTTCTCATGGTTGAAGAAGCAAACCGTTGTAATCATGCGCTTGTCGCTACACATAAACGTACTATTATGTTCTTTCATATCATTTTCCTTAGTATCGATTACCTTCTCTCTTTACACGGGATTGTAATCGATACTCTTTTCGATATGAGTGTGTGGAACTTGGACAAACGCACTTTCGCTCGTCTTTTTTTTCCGAACTGCAACTTTTTCCAAACTCGCAGTTTTTCTAGCTGACTAGCGTAAATGAATGTCGCAGAAGTCCTCTTGAAGGCTGCACACAGAACAACTGGGGGTTGAAAGATCCGAAGAAATTGTTCATATAACTTACACTATTGTAGTGAGTCGTAGCAAAGGGGCGTTAAGGATTTCGTCGCAGTGTCAGGGTCTTGACAGTAGTAAAACGTGTTAAGTTGCTCTTAGAGGAGGGGGATGCCCCTTTGAAGCTGCTCAGTTTTGAAGCTAAATATATGTTTTCTAGTCTCATTGTGCTGATGAAGCGCCAGCTGAAGAAATAGTGCTCTCTGGTGTTGATGTGGACGCAAACAGAGACGAGCGAACGCTTACCATCCATGGCGGACGTGATCATATCAAAATGACATTACGGTTTGTTCAGTTTCCAAGCAAACAGCATTCTTTTCAAGGGGTTTCGACTATTTCTTTTATTTTTTCTGGCACAACACCCTCCATGTTTGTTTCCCAGGCAGCTGGCTTGTTTTTTTGTCTCGAGGGGTGTTGTCTCAAGTCTCCCCGAGGGTTGCCTTGATCTTGTCGTTAATCATTCAATCGTCAGTTTTCATTAGCGTTTTCCCCACAGGCAAAACGGATGCAACTAACAAAACATGAGTTTCGTGTTTGTCACAGCTGCCGGACGTATGTTGGCTTGTTCACAGCCGGGATTTTGTAGGCTTTGCCTAACAACATTTAAGTAGCTGTTTCTGCTTCTTTTCTGAAGTCCAGCTGAAGGAAAACAAGCTCTGTCATCTGGGAGATCAGAGCCAGTGGTGTTGACGATGTTTCCACCCGCACTACAGTAGGAAAACGAAGTTGTAGCTCGTAAACATTAGGAATAGTCGAAAACACTCTTGATAATGTGTTCTTTCATGTGTAATTGATGAATTGTATGAAGAAAAATGCCCAAGCTCTAAGAAAGGCGAACGCGAAGATTATTCTTGCGTTTATACTATTAATAAATAACTCATTTTTAATTTAGCGTGCAGTCAAATGTGTTTGACAAATGGCGACATTCACTTCTTTCTCATGCTGCTTCATCACAGATTGATGCCTATGTTAAGCCCATTCCGAAAACGTTCCAGCATCTTACCGAGGTGAGGAATCGCAGTCTAAAAACGTTTTTGATTCGTACTTCAAAGGCAGTTAACACGATAAATCCCTTAGAAGTGAAGGATTAATACGCATTGCTTCGGCCCCTTAAGCAGCGCTGCATGGCGCCTTTTCTGAGAAAGGTATCCCATAGCTCCCTATCAGGCTGCAACATAAGACGCCCACCGTCCTTGCAATGTACGACCGATGCTGCTCATATCGCTTCATTTGCGAAGTACAATATGAAGCGAAGAGATTGATATGAAGCGGCTGCGGTGCTGCATGGATATATGAGTGCATACATGCAGCCGTATCTACCGTAGCGGTTATTGGCACGATGCCAATGAGAAACTCGTCCGAAACTGCTTTTTGAGTCTTCTGAGTGTAGTATGAACGCCTTTCTGGAGGTTCTCGACCGTTTCACTTCGCTTTTTCGACACTCCCCACTACATAGCACCCGCTACCATTTTAGACCGAGTACCAAGTTATCACGCCATCGTGCCTGTGCCAGCGGGCTAGATGGAGGGGGCGGGCCGTTGCTGCCAATGTCACTGGTGAAAACGCTGCGGGAGAGCATTTGGTTCCACCCCACTCCGGTCTTCCACCAGTGATGTTGGCAGCAACCGACCGACCCACCATCGTGCCTAATGCCTTCAAAATGATGCTTCATGCAAACTTCTTTATGGTTGTCTGCAAAAGAGCGGCACATGGGAAGCAGAATCTATGATGTTCCGCAAAGTTATGATAACTGCTGTTCAGCGCCGCATTACGCGTTCCGAATGATTATCACAAGAATGCTGAGTTGTGGGCAAAAGTCGTGCCGGAGGCCTGGTGGCGTAACGGATAGCGCACTCGCCCGGAAAGCGTGAGGTGCGGGTTCGACTCCCGCCTGGGGCACGACTTTTGCCCACAACTCAGCATTCTTGTGATACCACGGAGTGTTTATGTTTTGTTACTCGAGTGCTTTCTAAATGGAATACTGACTGTATTTTTTGGAGTGAAATGCGCATTGCAGTAATTGGCATGGTCGCGATAGAGCACGCGATTAGTTTCTAAACACAGCTTTTTCTACCCTTTTTGCGTAATGTAATGTCCTTGCAGCCTTGAACACTTATTCGAACCAGGCTTCTCGCATAGCTGACAACAAATCAATTGAATAATACGCAGAAAGAGAGCTAAAAACAACCGCAGATTTCAGTATTTTTTGAGAAGACCCTTTTTCTCGCAAATTCGGCGTTACGCAAGCTGTGAGCGTTGTTATGTTTTAAGGGAATTTCCAAGCAGTTCGAAAAACCTTTTTCCTCTGTACCATTGTAAGCGACTGCAACTAAAGATGTAATTATGTTTCAAGGATATATCGTCTGGCGCTATGCCTTGGGTGTCCAATTAAATTGCTAAAGGCCTGACTTCTACGTAATGCTAGTCCACGCAAACAGATAGCGACTAATTCCCTGCTATGGACCCCTTTCGGCTGTGAAATACACCCCTTCCTCTCGTTGAGAAATCCCCAATGGTGGTGTGCCTGGTTGTGACTCTGGGAGGTGCCATTATTCTGGTAATAGTGTTCTTGTTGACTGTTCACCGTCCTCTATTTGTGATGAACTAAATTATGACCTTTAGGGTTCGAGATAAACTTTAGATGTGCAATCGTTGAGTATTCAGAGAACAGCCGTTGAAAACCTTCTGAATGTTTTCAGAGAGTGGTGGTGCTCGAAATTGGATCCTGTTCTATTCGTGGTGGTGTGCTGACAACCGAACCTAGCCTTCCGCAGTCTTTCTTTCCAGCCATTGCTGTACGCACAGATGATGGTCGTATCATTGTCGGAGAGGACGCTTATGCGCCTGAGGTGTGAATTTCAGTTTTGTTTTGTCATTTCTTATCTATGTGTTTGTTATTTTGGGGATTTCGCACAGCTGACAACTGATCTTAACACGACGTAGTGTGTAGTCACAAAATTCTGGCGACTCGCAAGGTGTTTCATGATGGAATACTTGTCGTGGTTAATTCTTGAACCGCTAGGCCCACCTTCCTCTCTTGTTTGAAAGAAATGCCATAGTACCAATAGTCGCTAGGAATTAAGCGAGGCCAGTCTTTCTCATGAGGGGATTTCAATAACAGTTACCAGTAACCAACCAGCTGAGTAGTTTGGAATCAAAAGAAATTTGGCATAAGGCCGGCCTGAGCTCTTCGACTGCATGCTGTGAGTAATGGCGTTCACTAACCACTAGTCGTGCCTGTAGTCGCTGAGTGACTCTGCAGAGAGATAAAAAAACAGAAAAAAATCATGGAGGGCACCGTAGGGACGTGGCGTCCCCACTGTACGAGTTGTCCGGACCTGCTCGCTTGATGCCAGTAAATCGATACTGACTCTGACTTATCAATCTTTTCTTCGCGTCATCCGATGCTAATATCATTTATTAGACAAAAAATATAAACACGCTGTGAAGACTGTACACGTGACAGAGAGTAACCTTTCAGTTTTGGTGGGCGGGACAACAGGGAAGGCGTCGAACTACCACTTAAGGGGGCCACAGTGTCTCTGTTACTTCTTCTGAAACTGCGAAAGTGGGGCAAACATAAAACTGAAGACATTCTATTTGTAACAAGGAAGCACACCACGGTTTGCTTGAGCACGACGTCTTTCTGTATTAATGACTTTGTAATGAAATCACATTCATGGAGGGAAATTGGGTCTTTTTTCATTCGGGTTGTTTCTCTAACCCTATCAGGCCAGAGTGCGGTAGTAATAACCTGGACAGGGAAGTGTTTCTTCAGGGCTGGTAAGTAAATAAAACATTGTTTTTTTTCATGGGAAACGAAATGTTCAACACTCAGAATATGAACAATGAGCTCGTAGTTATGCCATAGCAATGTTGTTGGCTGGGTAGGTGAAACCTTCACTCGTTTCTTCAGATCCGCCACCATGGTGAATTCGTTCGCCCTATTCAAGCCTTAGATCCCAACGTCGAACGATACACCATGGATCGTGAAGTAGTGAAGGAGTGCATGAAAAAAGTTGTCAAAGACCTCAACGTGAACCCTTCGCAGTACAAGGTCGGTGGTTCGTTTCTTACGCTTGTCATCAGTTTGCGCTTTTACTGAAATCACTAAATCGTATTATCTAGGTCCTTTTGTCAATTCCACAAAACATCCCTATCGCCCTTATCGGTGAATTACTCACGCTTGCCTTGAAGGACATTGGATTCCAGGCATGTTCCTTTTTTGCCCTCGTTTCACGAATCCCTCGTTCATTAATCAAGAGAAATACGATAGTCTATTATTTCCAGGGTGCTGCAATTACACGCCAACCATCTTTGATCCTTTACGCATATGATGTGACAACTGGTGTAGTTGTGGACATTGGAGATCGTCTCAACATTGTTCCTGTTATTGATGGTTGGAAGAAAGTGTGAACTAACTAGTAGTAAAGGACTGACAGAACTGTTCATTCTTCAGGTTACGTGGTTGAATCTGCGATCTGCTCGATACCGTACGGAGCCACCCAAGTTCGGGAAGCATTGCGAACCACCTTATGCTCGAAAAACAAAGGATTGTATTCGTTCCAAAGCCCCATAGAGAAGCTTATCCTTCGTTACGTCTTAGAACAGGTCAGGCTAATATAATTAGGTAGAAGTGAAAGGTTTTGTTATTGTTATACATTCTCAAGCTGGCATAGTATGCCATGTCTCCATACGACGTCCAATAAGTGAAGTCAGTAAAGAGTGACAATGATTATAGGCTACCCTTCATGGCCGCAGAGTAAGTACCAGTAGCGTATGTATATTATAGTGTGTGCTAGTGTTCCTACCAGAAACTAGTCTACATTAGTTGAGTGTGGTCACACATCTGTTCACGTTTCTCCATTTCAATCCCCTGCTTTTAGACCAGCTATGTTCCGGAAGATTACACAAAAGAGGAGAAAACGTCAAAGGAAGTTAACATATCTCTGGATCGGTTTGACCCTCTTCCTGGAATGCCAACGAAGTTCAGTGTGAGTTATTCTTGCAATTCCCATACTTTTATAAGCTTTTCCTCACAGATTTCAATATTGTTGTCCTTATTGTCACAAGTTGTACAACAGTTGTATATTATGTTGTATATACAGTTGTATATTATGCTTTCTTCCTCGCCGTAGGTGGAAATATGAATAGGCTACCAAAAGTTTTATTGCAAAAGGCTCTACAAATCTAAAAAAGTTTAGAAGTTTTTGCAAATTTATTCCCCTCGCGAGTATATCGGTGACTGGCACCTTTTCAGCGATCCAAAATACAACAATTAGAAAAATTTTGCGCTGCTTGTCGATCTGGAGCCTGCTTCCGCTGGCATGGAATGACTACCCTTACGGTAGCCCAGCCTTGAGGCACTGACTGGGGAGATCTAGGACCGTGGGACACACTAATTTCTCCATGTTCCCCCTAAAATGCAATTTGCGGCGCAGACTCCCGATTCGTTTATACTAACAGCCGTCCGCGCGGCGCGTGTTTGGACGGAGAAACCGCTACGCTTCGGCAGCTGGGGGCTGATAGTCACGCACACCCAAACTATGTGTGATCGTACCATGTGTCTTTAAATAGAAGCGGACATCTAATGATTGTCACTACATCATATTACTAACCAGTCGACAATAATCGGTAGTCAGCAAATCAGTTAGAGAGCATCAACTAGCTCTTAATTTAATGCCAATCGTCCAATGATTTTATTTCCACCTGGTTTTTATGATCATGGTGAGCATGAGGGAACCTTTACGGGTATGCTTTTGGTGCGGTGTTTGTAAAGCCTTACCTGGATATGAGGCTGGACTGCAGAAAGCTTTAGGGTGTTCATCCAAATGTTTGAGGAGGGAGGTCGCTGTCTCACCAAAAGTCATGCCTCTGATAGGAAAATATGTTAACTAAAGAAACGGTATACTTACTAGAGTACGAGGGATGCGGGCCAAAGCACATTGTGAAGACAAAGAGACTATTTCTCAAAACTTTTATGATCATCACAGGGCTCCGTGTAATCCAGCCTCATATCCGGTACCAGTCTTTCCAAGCATCAAACCAAAACTCATGCCTGTAAAGGTCCTCAAGTTTACCGTTCACCGTTGATTATAAAAACCAGGTGGCAATAAAATTACTGGACAATTAGCAGTTGAGCACGAGTTAAGTGATGCTCTCCAACTGATCTACTAACTATGTGATCGTTGTCAAGCGGTTAGTGATATCATATGCAGTGACAATCGCTAGGCGTCCGCTTCTGTTTGAGAGAAGTGATGCTCTAAGGCAGGGGCTCTTCTAAGAGGGCCCACTCCACAACAACTGAGGCAGGGACCAGGTCGATTGGAGACAGCTCAATAACAGTCCAATTTTCCTAATTGTTGCATTCCACATCCCTGAGGAAGGTACTAGGTACTGGAACATCTGAAGAAAGGAATCATTTCGCGAAAATTTTTGGATTCCTTTTTGGTGCTTCTGAGTCTTCACAATGAACTTCCATGGTGCTGGTTCATATTTTGACAGTTGGGTTCTATTGAGGCTCCGTAAAGCACAGTACTGCTACATGTCATAAGTCACAACCTTTGCGCCATTTTGGTACCACATTACATCTGGTGGCCATAGAAGCGCTGCCAGCGCGATCATCAGCACCATACCACGTTATCGACGCTCATGGCGCTTCTCTTGACTTACAGCCAATCTATTATATCGAAATCCTTTTCATTCCTTGTTTGTTGACGCTTTTTCTAGCCCCTCTACCAATTTATGATGACATTGTTTAAGATCGACAATTCGCGATTCCTTTGCACGGAAGGTCTTTTCCGTCCCAAGAAGTGGGGTCTCGACACAAAAGGGTTACACGAACTAGTACATGAAGCTGTTATAATGAGCCCAATCGACAGCAGGAGGACTCTTTACAGGTATTATAATAGTCTGTACAAAACATTTGTGCTGTTAAGCCTTTTTTTATACGGTTTTTACGATAATATTGCATGGAATGCATAAGGAGATTTCACTTTTTGAAGAGACGTCATTGTTTTTTGAAGTAACTGCTTCTGCCATAATTTATCATATGAAAATAATATACGAGGGCCGTTCAAAGTATTCTCGGGATCGGGTAAGTCCGCAGTAACGAAGGAATGTAGATCATTTCGAACAGGTAAGAATACTCCCTGAGGGTATTAGTACGAATTTCAATTTAGTTATCATTACAGCTATTCTAGTTATCCTTGGTGAAAGACCAGAGTGACTGATGTGACAATGTTGAGAAAAAGATCACTGTTTCAAAAAAATTGAGAAAAATAGAAAGAAAATTAAGAATGTGATTATGATTGCTTCTGTTTCCCAACCTAGAACGAGATCATCGTGGAGAGCGTTCTCCGATGATGAAAAGCTGAAGGCTGCAATTAACGCACATTTTGGGGACAAGGAGTAGCAAATTTTTTGGAGGGTATTGAAAAGTTAGTTTCCCGAGCAAACAAGTGTATTGAGGTTATGGGGACACAATGAAAAATAATTTTATTCAGAATTTTCTGCCTTTTCCTTCATACATATACCGGGAATACATTGAACATACTCGCAACATTCGCGTCTGAGCTTTTTTCCCCTGGCATGTCTTTGGTAAATAAGGTATCTCTTGCAGGAACATCTATCTCGCTGGAGGAGCGTCCTTAATGCCTGGCTTAGCAGAAAAACTGGAGCAAGAACTTGCCGCCATCGTTCCGAATACCATCCATACACAAGTATGAAATTCTCTAAACTGCGATGGATACGATGATTTAGCTGTTTGTTTTAGGTTCACATCTCCCCGTGGAGGTACAACGCTGCATATCTGGGAGCCCAAATAGTTGCATCAGCATCCACGTTCAGTGACAGCTGTATATCCCTCGAAAATCTACCAACGTTCCTGTCAAATTTACAATCGTTTGGTTTTTGAAGGTCTCGACCAGAGCCGAGCTAATCATTTCTATCTGCCAGAGTTTTAATAGTTAACTATGAATATACATACACACATGATTTACGGACAAATGATATGTGGTACCGATAGAAGGCTTAAGTCGCCCATTTTTAGCGTTTTAGCTTTGTTAGCAGCGTTTTTCCCTCCGTCTTTTGCTACTTACTCAGTTGTGTTGAAGATATTCATGACTAATGTGATATCTATCAATGATGCTTAACTGATTTTTCAAATTAAGTTTTACGTACATATATGTTTATCTGACTATGAATTATTTCTATGAAATTTCGTCCTTTCTTCGCATACGCTTGTGAAAGATTTATTCAAGAGGAACATGGCATTTTGACGTTTGGTATCAGAAAAGAATTTTTGATTGGGTTTCCCCTCGGTGCTCATTTGCGCATCTGAGGGGTATATCCAAAAACATCAGTGTTAAAATGTTAAATTATTGACAATTTTCCAGATGACTTTTTCGGTGTACAAGGAAAGCATAACTAGAGAATAATTACTCCCTTTGAAACCAGTATTCTGTGCCATCGC